GAGATGTGGGAAAGATGCTGTCAGTGATGACTTTTCCAATTTCTTCTATAACCTTGTCTAATTTCTGGTTATTTATTAAGATGGGGTTTAGTTTCCCGTGTTTCGCGTCTTCTATGGCATGGAGGATGTTATGCGTCGTTTCTAGATACTTTCTGGTGGCATGTTGTATTTCTCTAGCGGTTTCGTCGAGGCTTGCAAGATATTCTACTTGAGTCAACTTGTCGGACAGTATGTTGGTGTTAGAGGCTATGATGTTTATTCGATCTGTGGCCTTTATAATTTTCTCATAGTTCAGTTCGTGTTCTTTTTTTCNGATCATTGTAATCCATGGTGCCGAAGAGGGATCTCGATATGGTGCCTACGAATCCTAGCAGAGGGGATCTGCTATAACGTCTTTTGGGGTTCTGTTTTGGACTTTTCCAGATTCTTTCCAAATGTTTCTGTATTGTTTGGAGTGTTGTCTTGTACTCTTCCATGATGGTTATGCCTAGTACTTTATCGCAAGTTTGCTTTCCTTGGTGTTTATAGCATTCGGTTTGATGTTTTTCTATGGTTTGTATCCCTGGGAGGGGTTGTCCTAGGAGGTTGTGCATGTCCACTGTGAGCATCAGTCGCCATTTTCTGTTGATTGTTCTTATTTGGTCGATTTTCTCATAGTAGAGTCCAGGGTTGTGGTCTATTGATTCATGTTGGTAGATTTGGTTGAGTTTTAAATCTGTTTCGGCCTGGATTACCCAAACGGTGGTCCATATGATGAGGATAGCTCTCATGATATTGTGTTCTGTAAGTTGGAGAATTTCTTGAAAATTTTTTTTTTGGAGTGTTGTCTCATTCTGCGCAGGGTTTCAGTTTGTTTGGGTGTTTCATGAAGTGGTGTCCGTCTTCGCTTTCTAAGTATACGTTTCCTTTTTCGATTATGTCAACAATCTCGTAGGGTCCGGTGTAGGCCTGATCCAATTTTCCGATCTTGGGCTCCTTCTCGACATAGCCGAATTGCNTTTTTTTTTTTGAGTGTTGTCTCATTCTGCGCAGGGTTTCAGTTTGTTTGGGTGTTTCATGAAGTGGTGTCCGTCTTCGCTTTCTAAGTATACGTTTCCTTTTTCGATTATGTCAACAATCTCGTAGGGTCCGGTGTAGGCCTGATCCAATTTTCCGATCTTGGGCTCCTTCTCGACATAGCCGAATTGCANCCATTTCTTTATGTGCTCAGTCATGCAGCTGATGAGGTATTTGGAATCGGTGATTATTCGTATTCTCGAAATGTCATGGCGAATGCATATTTGGCATGCTTCGATGGCGGCCGCTGTTTCGGCGGTGATGTTGGTGGCCCGTGTACCTTGAAGAGTTTTGTGGGTGTTGAGGGGGCTGTTGTCCGCGAACCACACTCCGATTCCTGCTTTGGCATCGGTTGAGCCGTTAAAGGAGCAGGAGCCATCGACGTAAACTAGTGTGCGTCCTGATCCGTCTGTACTCATGTCCCTGGAATGGTTTCATTTTCAATCGTATACATTCAGGTACGGCTAAGGATATTTTGTTTGTCATTGAATNGGGGAGAACTGCCCTTTTTCCATACAGGACTTCAAATGGTGTGAAATTTGCTGAGCTATGCACAGTAGTATTGTACGATAGCATGGCGAAGGGGAGGAGCTTATCCCAGTCGGTGAATTCGTCGGTATAGGTCTTCAGATACTTGGCTAGTACGTGATGACTTCTCTCAATGGCTCCATTTGACTGAGGTCTATATCCAGATGTCGTTATATGGTGGAATCTCAGGACCTNGATCCAATTTTCCGATCTTGGGCTCCTTCTCGACGTAGACGAATTGCCCTATTTTGAGGTCTATTGGTCTAACGTTTCGGTCGTAAAGACCCTTGGAATGTAGTTTGGCCTTTTCCAGGTGGTCGAAGGCGAGTTGGTGAATTTTCTGCAGTTTGTTAATTAAGTCCACCATGTAATCGTTGTAGGTATGTATTGGCTCATCTTCGTCGGTAACGTTGGAGGGGAGAACTGCCCTTTTTCCATACAGGACTTCAAATGGTGTGAAATTTGTTGAGCTATGCACAGTAGTATTGTACGATAGCATGGCGAAGGGGAGGAGCTCATCCCAGTCGGTGAATTCGTCGGTATAGGTCTTCAGATACTCGGCTAGTACGTGATGACTTCTCTCAAGGGCTCCATTTGACTGAGGTCTATATCCAGATGTCGTTATATGGTGGAATCTCAGGACCTTTCCCAGTTGACTGAACAATTTGCTGAGGAAGCTGGTCCCTTTATCTGAGAGGATTATCTTGGGGCATCCGTACAGGGCTACATACTTGGTTGCTAGTGCATGAGCGATAGTGTGAGCCTTGATATCCTTAAGGGGTACAGCGGTGCAGTGCTTGGAGAAGTTATCTTGTATCGTCAAGATATGGTAGTGACCCATACGTGTAGCTGGGAGGGGGCCTACGGTATCGATAGAAATTCTCTCGAAGCATTCGCTGGGTGTTTCGGTGATGAGCATGGGCTGTCGGAATTTCACCCTTCGAATTTTCTCTAGTTGACAGGTTCGGCAGAGTTTGATAAATCTCTCTATTTNTCTTCAGATACTCGGCTAGTACGTGATGACTTCTCTCAAGGGCCCCATTTGACTGAGGTCTATATCCAGATGTCGTTAAATGGTGGAATCTCAGGACCTTTCCCAGTTGACTGAACAATTTGCTGAGGATGCTGATCCCTTTATCTGAGAGGATTATCTTGGAGCATCCGTACAGGGCTACATACTTGGTTGCTAGTGCATGAGCGATAGTGTGAGCCTTGATATCCTTAAGGGGTACAGCGGTGCAGTGCTTGGAGAAGTTATCTTGTATCGTCAAGATATGGCAGTGACCCATACGTGTAGCTGGGAGGGGGCCTACGGTATCGATAGAGATTCTCTCGAAGCATTCGCTGGGTGTTTCGGTGATGAGCATGGGCTGTCGGAATTTCACCCTTCGAATTTTCTCTAGTTGACAGGTTCGGCAGAGTTTGATAAATCTCTCTATTTCCTGCTTCATCCCGGGCCAGTAGAACCTTTCCCTTACTCGGTTGAAGGTTTTCACAATCCCTTTGTGTCCTCCGGGGAGAGTTGCATGGCGTTCCTTAATGATTTCTGGTCTTAGGGCCGCTGGAGGCATCCGGATTCCACCATGACATAGATTTACAGTAGNCCCTTTATCTGAGAGGATTATCTTGGGGCATCCGTACAGGGCTACATACTTGGTTGCTAGTGCATGAGCGATAGTGTGAGCCTTGATATCCTTAAGGGGTACAGCGGTGCAGTGCTTGGAGAAGTTATCTTGTATCGTCAAGATATGGCAGTGACCCATACGTGTAGCTGGGAGGGGGCCTACGGTATCGATAGAGATTCTCTTGAAGCATTCGCTGGATGTTTCGGTGATGAGCATGGCCTGTCGGAATTTCACCCTTCGAATTTTCTCTAGTTGACAGGTTCGGCAGAGTTTGATAAATCTCTCTATTTCCTGCTTCATCCCGGGCCAGTAGAACCTTTCCCTTACTCGGTTGAAGGTTTTCACAATCCCTTTGTGTCCTCCGGGGAGAGTTGCATGGCATTCCTTAATGATTTCTGGTCTTA